GAATCTCGATCGTAGTGATACACATATTCATAATATTGAAGCCAAAAGATGCAAAGTTAATAATGATAGTGCAACTTATTTGTGGCACTGCCGTTTAGGTCATATTGGTATAAAGCGCATGAAGAAAATCCATGCTGATGGGCTTTTGGAATCACTTGATTATGAATCAGTTGATGCTTGCGAACCATGCCTCATGGGCAAGATGACTAAGACTCCGTTCTCTGGAACAATGGAGCGAGCAACAAACTTGTTGGAAATAATACATACTGATGTATGCAGTCCGATGAGTGTTGATGCTCGCGGCAGGTATCGTTATTTTCTGACCTTCACAGATGATTTGAGAAGATATGGGTATATCTACTTGATGAAACATAAATATGAAACATTTTGAAAAGTTCAAATAATTTCAGAGTGAAGTGGAAAATCATCGTAACAAAAAAAAAGTTTCTGCGACCTGATCGTGGAGGAGAATATTTGAGTTGCGAGTTTGGTCTTCATTTGAAACAATGTGGAATAGTTTCGCAACTCACACCACCTGGAACACCACAATGTAATGATGTGTCTGAATGTCATAATCGTACTTTATTAGATATGGTGCAATCTATGATGTCTCTTACCGAATTACCACTATCGTATTGGGGTTATGCATTAGAGACAGCTGCATTCACGTTAAATAGGGCACCGTCTAAAAGTTCGTTGAGACGACACCATATGAACTGTGGTTAGCAAGAAACCTAAGCCGTTGTTTCTTAAAGTTTGGGGTTGCGATGCTTATGTGAAAAAGTTTCAGCCTGATAAGCTCAAACCCAAATCGGAGAAGTGCGTCTTCATAGGATACCCAAAAGAAACTGTTGGGTACACCTTCTATCACAGACCCGAAGGCAAGATCTTTGTTGCTAAGAATGGATCCTTTCTAGCGCAGGAGTTTTCTCTTGAAAGAAGTGAGTGGGAGGAAAGTAGAACTTGATGGGGTAATTGTACCTTCTCCCGAATTGGAAAGTAGTTCATCACAGAAATCAGTTCCAGTGATTCCTACACCAATTAGTGAGGAAGCTAATGATGATGATCGTGAAACTTCAGATCAAGTTACTACCAAACCTCGTAGGTCCGCACCAGAGTGGTACGGTAATCCTGTTCTGGAAGTCATGTTACTGGACCATGATGAACCTACGAACTATGAGGAGGCGATGATGAGCCTAGATTTTGACAGATGGCTTGAGGCCATGAAATCTGAGATAGAATCCATGTATGAGAACAAAGTGTGGACTTTGGTGGACTTGACCGATGATCGGGTTCCCTACGACCAAAGAGATAAAAAACGTAGAAAACTCCGTCTTCGATCTTTTCCTTCTAGAGAGAATAGCTAACCGATGTATGCCTAAACACCGAGTACCTGAAGCACTTAGCACACGATTAGACTAACAAAGGGTTGTCATCATCATCCAAAACACAAAGTAGGGAAATGCCCTTACACTCTGACTATGAGATTATGCAACTCCCGAATATCGGAGGAACACCTTGTGTGCTATCAAACGTCACAATGTAACTTGGTGATTATAAAGATGTTCTACAGGTGTCTCCAATGGTGTTTGTTGAGTTGGCATAGATCGAGATTATGATTTGTCACTCTGTCTGTTGGAGAGGTGTCTCTAGGCCCTCTCGATAATGCACATCACTATAAGCCTTGCAAGCAATGTGACTAATGAGTTAGTTGGGGATGATGCATTACGGAACGAGTAAAGAGACTTGCCCGTAACGAGATTGAACTAGGTATTGAGATACCGACGATCGAATCTCGGGCAAGTAACATACCGATGACAAAGGGAACAACGTATGTTGTTATGCGGTTTGACCGATAAAGATCTTCGTAGAATATGTAGGAACCAATATGAGCATCCAGGTTCCGCTATTGGTTATTGACCGGAGATGAGTCTCGGTCATGTCTACATAAGTTCTCGAACCCGTAGGGTCCGCACGCTTAACGTTCTGTGATGATTTGTATTATGAGTTATGTGATTTGATGACCGAAGTTTGTTCGGAGTCCCAGATGAGATCGGGGACATGACGAGGAGTCTCGAAATGATCGAGGCGTAAAGATCGATATATTGTAAGGCTATATTCGGACATCGAAAAGGTTTCAAGTGATTCGGGTATTTTTGGAGTACCGGAGAGTTACGGGAATTCATATTGGGCCTTAATGGGCCATACGGAAAGGAGAGAAAAGCCTCAAGGGTGGCCGCGCCCCTTCCCCAAGGACTGGCCCGAATTGGACTAGGGAAAGGGGGTGCCCCCTTCCTTCCTTCTCCTTCTTCCTTCCCTTTTTTCCTATTCCATGTGGGAGGTGTAATCCTACTAGGACTAGCGAGTCCTAGTAGGACTCCACACTTTCGGCGCGCCCTATGAGGGCCGACGGCCTCCTCCCTCCATCCTTTATATACGTGGCCAGGGGCACCCCATAGACACACAAGTTGATCATTGATCTCTTAGCCGTGTGCGGTGCCCCCCTCCATCATAATCCACCTCGGTCATATCGTCGTAGTGCTTAGGCGAAGCCCTGCGCCGATAGCTTCATCATCACCATCATCACGCCGTCGTGCTGACGAAGCTCTCCCTCGACACTCTGCTGGATCATGAGTTCGTGGGACGTCACCGAGCCAAACGTGTGCAGATCGCAGAGGTGCCGTACTTTCGGTGCTAGGATCGGTCGATCGTGAAGACGTACGACTACATCAACTGTGTTGTCATAACGTTTCCGCTTACGGTCTACGAGGGTACGTAGACAACACTCTCCCTCTCGTCTCTATGCATCACCATGATCTTGTGTGTGCGTAGGATTTTTTTTTTGAAATTACCGCGTTCCCCAACACGGCCATCTTTGTTGCTCCAATCAAGGAGGACATCCAGTACCTGCCATCGATGCTCGGCTCATTTGGTGATGTTACTGGCTTGGTCACCAACCGCAACAAAAGTCAGGTGGCACCCATTCTTTGTGCCAACATCGATCTGGACGACATTCTGCAGGCCTTCCCGACGGTACGGGCCACCTTTCCCATGAGATATCTTGGTCTCCCACTTTCGGTTACAAGACTAAAGCGCATCCACTTTCAATACTTAGAAGATAAGGTGGCTGGCAAGCTCCCACCCTGGTCGGCCATGCATGTGGCCACCCCCCGGCCATTGTTTTGGTCATAGACGTCCTTACAGCCAATGCTATAAATCACCTCACTCCTCTGGACCACCCTACTGAAGTAAGGAAAAAACATCAATAGTCTCAGACGCGCCTATCTCTGGGCAGGTTGTGATAAGGTGACGGGAGGCAAGTGTAAGGTTAATTGGGACCTTGTTTGTAAGCCCATAGTTCATGGGGGTCTAGGTGAGCTCAACCTTGAGAAGTTTACTACGGCTTTACGCCCTCGTTGGTTTGTGGTTCGAGTGGGCTGACCCGCCAAAAACATGGGTTTGGATGGGAACACCTTGCTCTGACAAGGATAAGGATCACTTTGCGGCGGCCACTACGATGACCATTGGTGATGGTAAAAAGGCTAAATTCTGGGAATCCTCTTAGCTGAATGATTTTCGACCCAAAGATGTCGCGGCTAAGATCTTCAAGATTTCAAAAAGTAAGGAGTGTGTGGTTAGCAAGGCTCTCGAAAACAATTTTTGGATCCGACATATTAACACTGCACAGGGCCTCACCTTGACAGATTTACAGGAGTTTGCCAACCTTTGGGAGATGGTTGCTGGTGTTACTCTTAGCCAAGATAGGCAAGACACTATTTTTTGGAAATTCACAACCAGCGGAGAGTACTCGGCATCCTCGGCATATTTGGCACAATTTGTGGGGCTTACCTTCAGTACCAACACTTCCATGATCTAGAAGATGTGGGTTCCATTGAAATGCAAATTCTTTGCTTGGTTAATTCTCCAGAACCGAGTTTGGATGGCCGATCGATTGAATCGACGGGGAGGGCTTAATTGCGGCCTTTGCCCCCTTTGCAAGCAAGTTCAAGAGTCTGCTGCCCACCTCCTATTCCAATGTAGATTCATGGTTAGAGTTTGGAATGAGATCACCGCTTGGCTGGGCATCCACGACTACTCGCCAATGTCTTGGCGGAATGAAGATTCGGTTCGAGCTTGGTGGCAAATGACGGTGAGCATGGCTGAGCATAACAGAAAGGCCATTGCTTACACTATGATGCTTGTCTCATGGGACATCTGGAAAGAGCGAAATGCTAGAATTTTTTGCAACACCATGGCTCCATCCACAATCGTCGTCACGAGAATCAAAGGGGAAGCCCATCTTTGGGCACTGGTTGAGGCCAAGCATTTGAGCATTCTTATGTCACGAGAGTAGACTTTTCTTTTTTGCCGCTTTGCGGCATATGTCTAAACCTTCTCCTTAATTAATGAAAATGGCAAGTCTTTTGCCTTGTTTGAAAAAAAAGTAGTATATTTCTTGGTGGCATCGTATGCATGTGGTTTAATTCAGGGTACTAGCACCTCTTTTATCTATTTATTTTGGTGCAATAATTATCTTTCCGTTCCAAATTAGGGGACTAATAATAAATGCATGATCTACGAACACCTCCTCGGTATAAATTTATCATCGTATCTCCATCTTGGCTATTTTAGCAGTTCTTGTATCTATGTTATCAACACATTCCTCCAGTATTTAAATGACCCAAGGAGTAGAGATATAACTAGAAAAACAATAATTGAAGCAGACCACAATTAGAGGGATACCATGAAGAAAGAGATATTCTCAAATTGGAGAATGATGAGATTTTGATTCAATTATATGGCAACTCTGTTTACAAAAATGTCCAGGCAGAAGATCTGATACTATATGCTGCAAACAACGCCGCAACCTAAAATTATCTCTATGGCTGCCCAAAACAATGTGATTTTAACAACAGAAGTAAACTTACAAGTATAATCATCAAAGGAAGTCAATCTTCAATCAACCAAGCAATTCGCCGAGTACCTCTCCAAGGCCAAAGCTACAGTTCTAACTTCTGGCTGCCCAACTGGCTGAGCATGATCGCCATGTCCATACCCTGAGTCATCGTCGCCATAGCCATTTCATACGGGCATTTCTTGGAGAAGCCGACCTTGCCAGCCTTCTTCACTTTCCTCATGCAGTTTTTGAACTTCTCATGGCATTTGATACTCATCAGTCCTGATCAATTTACATTTATGCAAAGAAAAAGAACCATGAGATTGAGGATTCAAAGTACAGATCTTCAGATAAACAGCTCGAGCGCAAACTTTCTTTCGCATCACAAGCATCATATATCCGTTGTGTTTCATGCATGCATACATGTCCCAGCGAAACTGGTTACTCATGGTGTAAGATAAACAAAGCAATATAATTATAGGAATGTGGGGGAATGCACTGATTGATCTGGCCGGTCTCATCTTTCATTTGAAGGTAAAAAGAGGTTCCACCCATATGAAGTCCTCGATGCAATTTTGTTCAACAATTGCCCCCCTTGTACCCAAACACCCATGCGACTCTTTAGCTGTACAGTACTCAATGACACATGAAATTTCACAGGGAACTGCAAAGCTGTGAAGACACAGCCGCAATTGACAAATACGGAGTATAATATAAAATTATTGACCAAAAGCTGTGACTTGTCCCAATGCAGTATAACTATAGGATTGTGGAGATGGCATTAATCGATCTGGTGGGTGCCGTATGTCGTTGGAGGTAAAAAAACTGTGACCTATGTCAACCTGATGCAATATTGAGCACCCCCTTGAACCCAAACCGCCTGTCATCTGTTGTTTGGAGGTAAAAAATGTGACCCATGTCAACCTGATGCAATGTTGAACGCCCCCTTGAACCCAAACCGCCTGTCATCTGTCGTTTGGAGATAAAAAACTGTGACCCATGTCAACCTGATGCAATGTTGAACACCGCCTAGAACCCAAACCGCCAATACATATCGCCCAATCCATGCGACGACTCGACAGTACATAACATGTGGAATTTAGAAGGGAATTGGTGGAGAGCATAGCTGTATACTGACAGGAAACGGCTGACCAGAAATCTAACTTGTCCGGTTGTCCCGATGCATTCTGGTGTGCACACCACAAAGCTGTGCAGTTTATCTAGCAAATTAACCACACACAATTTATCACTGAACAACAGATGAGCGAAAACATCAGTTCATACAGGCAATTGTGAACCAAAACTACCACTGCATTGCCATTACTAAATGACAGAGCAGAGTAGAGCAAACAGCAATTGAAAGTCTGAATTCTGAAACTGTCTAGCCAATGCCCATCTTATCAACTGTCAGCACCTTCCGAATTCACATGTCCAAACAATACAGTGCAGCGTATGGTTGTTCATGGCGGCCTGGGTTGACCGATCCAGACGCCATTGTTTCTTTCTGAAGCTAGAAAGGGGATGACGTACCTTTCTTGCCGACGCAGTGGTCGTGGTCGCGGCAGCAGGCGTCGAGGTCGTCGCAGGGCTCCTCCCCCTCGCACCCGCTCCACCCCACGCCGCAGAACTTGCCGTACCGGATCCCCACCGCTGCCACCCATCCCATCCATTCCATGGTCAGAGCATGCTCAGATCAGAAAGAAATCGTCACACTCGATTGACCGGATCCGGGGAGGACGAGGAGGCTCACAGTCGCAGTTGAGCGTCGCGCACGACCGGCTGCACGGCGGCGGCGGCGGCGACGCGGCCGCGGAGCCCCCGGCCAGGAGGAGGAGGACGAGCAGGACGGCAATCGCCATCGCCATCGCCGGTTCGTGGTGGAGATTGTTCTTGGAGCCGCGGTGGTGGCGGGCCACGGCTGTCAGTCACTCTTCAGACTTCTGGTTGTTCCCAAAGGCAAAGCCCAAGCCCAAATCTTTTCCCCAAACCCCACCCACCCACGGGCGCACCGCCCGGCCACCCCCCGCAATGGCGGCGGCGGCGGCGTCTCCGGCCATCGCGCCGTCCTCCTTCCCCTCCACCCGCACGGGACCGCTGCTCTCCTTTCGCGTCTCGAGGAAGCTCAGGGTCTCCGCCGCGGCGGCATCGGCCGACCCGCCCCCGGCCTTCAGGTCCGTCACGGCGTTCGCGCCGGCCACGGTGGCGAACCTGGGGCCGGGTTTCGATTTTCTGGGCTGCGCCGTCGCCGACGCCTCGCTCTCCCTCGGCGACACCGTGACCGCCACGCTCGACCCCACGCTGCCCGCCGGCACGGTCGCCATCTCGGGCATCACCTCCCCGTCCTTCCCGCGCCTCGCCGAACGCCTCTCCCGCGACCCGCTCCGCAACTGCGCCGGCATTGCCGCCGTCGCCGCGCTCAGCGCCCTCGGCGTCCGCTCGCACGGCGTCTCGCTCAGCCTCGCCAAGGGCCTGCCGCTCGGCTCCGGCCTGGGCTCCTCGGCCGCCTCCGCAGCCGCCGCCGCCAAGGCCGTGGACGCGCTCTTCGGCTCGCTGCTCCCCCGCGACGGCCTCGTGCTCGCCGGCCTCGAGTCCGAGAAGGCCGTCAGCGGCTTCCACGCCGACAACATCGCCCCGGCCATCCTCGGGGGCTTCGTCCTCGTGCGGAGCTATGAGCCTTTCCGCCTCGTCCAGCTCCCCTGCCCGCCCGCACTCCACCTCTGCTTCGTCCTCGTCACGCCTGAGTTCGAGGCGCCCACCAGCAGGATGCGCGCCGCCCTGCCCAAGAACGTCGCCCTCAGCCACCACACCCGCAATTCCAGCCAGGCTGCTGCGCTCGTCGCTGCCGTCCTGCAGGGTGACGCCGCCCTCATCGGTTCGGCAATGTCGTCTGACTTCATCGTCGAGCCCACCAGGGCGCCGCTGATTCCCGGCATGGCCGCGGTGAAGGCCGCCGCCCTGGAAGCCGGAGCGCTAGGATGCACCATCAGCGGAGCGGGCCCAACCGCCGTGGCTGTCATCGAGGGAGAGGAGAAGGGGGAGGAGGTCACGCGGAGGATGGTTGACGCCTTCCTTTCAGTGGGGAAACTGAAAGCCGCCGCCACCATCGCGCAGCTTGATAGAGATGGCGCCAGGGTTATCTCCACCTCAAGTTTGGAGTAGGAAGGTACATTGTCTTGCTTGTCTGGTTTGTGTATGTGTATTACACTGACTGAACATGTTGTCGGTGATTTGGTGCGGTAGGTGTTTGGAAGTTCTCCCAAATTAGTGTATTATCACTCGGTTGTCAGTTCTAATTGTTTGTTAAATGTTCTTAATGAGTGGATCGATTTACCATTTAATTTGAAATTGTAATCGTATTATCAATCCCTGACCGAGTGGCACAACTTGTTGGACAGCAGCCTCAAAGCAACATGGCGGTGTATCATTCCCTCTGTTAACATTTTTTTTCTTCCCTGTTTCATGGATAGTTTAAACATTTATGAATCTACTAAACCTGTGCATTTTTTTAGTCGTCCTTGTGTCTACTGTAACCATTTCAACATACTATTTATTAGTGATATTTTAGATTTCTGTTTTGTATTCACTGTGGAAGGAAAGGAGGCACACCTGTCAGATAGGTGTAAAACTGTCCTGTTTTGTATTCACTGTGGAATTGGGTTTAAGACAAAAAATGTTGCAAAAGAAAAATATGTTGGGATAGCAGCAGGTAACTGGAGTTGGGGAAATAAATAAACAATCTGCAAAAGATACCAGAATGTTGGATGGTGTGGAATGCTCAGATACTGACAGTGGAAGTAGTGTCTCCAGTGCTAATAACCAGGGGCTCTGTCAGGATATGCAAGATGATCCTGACAGCTTTGCAGGAGGAATGGGGCTTAGTACACAGGTGATTGCAGAGGTAAACAGAAGACTTGATGAGGAGCAGGAGGCTATAGGATCACAACTGGTTGGAGGTGATTTTGGGGAGGAAAATTCAAATAGAGACCAGAACTTACAAGCAAAAAAAGTGGAGCTTGGAGGTGTGTTGAGAGATTTCAGCCAGGAAAAGGATAATATAGTGGATGAGAATTGGAGGAGGGCTAGCAGGAATGTGACAGATCAGCATGTAATGGAGAAAGCAATGGACAGGGCTAAAGTGAAGAATTTGGAGTTTTCCAATTGGTGAGTCTACTTCCTTAAATTTTCCTACAGTTTTAAATGCTGCACATGAAAAACTATTAAGTTCAGTTGCTACTGCGGGTGTTAAATTAGGTGGAAATGAGAAGGAAATTAAGCAATCTGAGAAGTTTTAAAGAAACTAGAAGAAGCTAGATGCAATTTATTTGAGGCTAGTCCTGGTAAGAGCAGTAAAGATTTGCGTTGTAGTGGCTCTAAGAAAAATAGTTTTAATGTAGCTAGAGGTATGGGGGAGGCTGATAAAGTAAAGTTTCTTAAAGAAACTATTGTAGAACATAATATTTTATTTGTACGTGTGCAGGAAACAAAGAAAACTAGTTATGGTGCTGATTGGTTAATTAATATTAGTGGTAGAAAGAATTTTTCCTGGGTATGTGTTCCATCAGTAGAACTGAGTGGTGGTATTATGTTAGGAGTGGATAGTGATTGTTTTGAAGTACTGGAAGCTGAATCGGGTGATTTTAATGCTAGAATGACAGTTAGAGAGAAAAGCTCTAATAAGAAATGGATTTTAGCTACTGTGTATGGGGCTGCTCATGGTAGAGACAAGGGAGCCTGTTTGGTTGAGCTAGTGCATATTTTTTTATTGTAATGAGCTCCCTCTGTTAGTTGGAGGAGACTTTAATTTGATTAGGAAAATTAGTGATAGCAGTCGGGCTAGGAGATTAAATAAATGGTCTAATCTTTTAGTACTATTATTGAGCGTTGTGAGTGTAAGGAGGTGGAGATTGCAGGTGGTTGTTTTACTTGGTGTAATGACCATAGCTCTGCTTTATTTAAGAAATTGGACAAGATTATAATGGTAAATGGGTAGGAGCAAATGTTTCCTCTTGTACATGTGAATACCTTGCCTAGACCTATCTCTGATCATTCGCCTTCAGTTGTTAATTTGGCATTAAATATCCCTAAAATTGTAAAGCCTTTTAAGTTTCTTAGAGAGGATCTAAGTGAGGTGGCCAGCAAAGTTTGGAATGCATTTCATTTTGATACAACTAAGTTAGATAAGTGGCAGAATAGAGCTAGAGTAGTGAGAAAAAAGTTGAAAGGATGGAACATTAACTATGAAAGTTTTTATAGAAAACAGAAGAAAATTTTGGAAACTGCTATTGATGATATAGACAAAGAGAGTGAAATTATGCTTTATCTGTAGACAAGTAGTATAACACTAGAAAAGATCTAGATGTGCAGTAACAACATATTAGAAAGGAGGAGCTGGTGAAGTGGTATCAGAGGTCAAAAGACACTGACCTGCTCCAGGGAAATTCTCTTACTAAATATTTTATGGCTAAAGCTAGCGGTAGAAAACGGAAGAAACATAAGATTTTATTATCTCTACAACAAGAGGAGGGTTTGATTGTAGGGGATGATAACATACTACTTAAGCATGCCATTAAATACCCTAGAGAGCTCTTTGGTCCAGAGGCTAGTGTTATTAATGTCTCTTTAGATGTTCCTTCACAATGTGTGCTTGATGATATCGATAAGCAGTTGCTGATCAAACCTTTTACAGTTGAGGAAGTAAAACATGATGTTTTCCAGATGAAACATAATAAATCCCCAGGTCCTGATGGGTTTCCCAGAGTTTTTCCAGCATTTCTGGGACTTGAGTTGTGATGATTTGATGCCTCTGTTTCATGATTTTTTTAATGGAAAGTTGGATGTAGGAAGACTTAACTATGTCATTGTTTATTTGTTGCCTAAAGGGAATGATGCTGACAGAATCCAAAGATATAGGCCTATATGTTTGCTAAATGTTCCTTTTAAGACTTTTACTGTGGTAAAAGTAGAGCCGTTGTTGTAGAAGATAAGATTATATCCTGTGTGCAGACGGCTTTTATGAGAAATATGTTTATTTTAGATGGTGTGGTATTGTTGCGTGAGATAATTCATGAGATTAGAGTTAGAGAAAAGAAGTGCTGTCAATTTCAAGATTGATTTTGAGAAAGGACAAAATTAACTAGGATTTTTAGAAAAGGTGATGGTTATGAAAGGGTTCCCAATTAAATGAGTACTGTTAATGATGGTAAGGTGGCTTTTATGGTCAGTGACAATATTCATACCTATTTTCCCACTAGAGAATTTTTGAGGCAAGGGGACCCTCTGTACCCCATATTGTTCTCAGTACTTATTAATAGAGTTGTAGAACATGGTCTCATTGCTCCTATGGTCGATAATCTAGTAGAGGACGGAATGGCCATGTTACAGTATGCAGATGACACAATTTTCATATTTGAGGATGATTTGGATAGTGCAGTAAATTTAAAACTTATTCTGTGTATTTGTGAGCATTTATTTGGTTTGAAAACTAATTTTCATAAAGTGAGATAATTCTACTGGGTAAAGCT